ATATGAGGTGTGTATGTATATACATATTAGATGACTGTATATTTGTATATGTGTACATGTGTATTTACATTCCTGTACATTCAATTTCACAATATTAAAACAATTGAAAATTATAATCCATGCATACAGATAAAATCCCCTTTTATCATAATTGTCTCTATATGTGCTGATGTGCTTGTGGATGTATTTAACAATTTCAATCCATTCTTTTTTTTTTTTTTTTTTTCGGTTCAGGTATCAAACTCAGGACTTTGTGACTGCCAGACAGTTGCAACATCAATCCACTCATTTCTGTTATTTTTCTTTTCATTAAACAACACATTGTGGAATCTTTCCAAAATGGATCCATTTCTTTCAGTGCATCATTTTATTCAATTGTTCCCAGGAGGCAACTTTCCATCTTGAAATTTCCCTTCTCCTGAAATGGACAAGCATTATCTATCCCTTTCCTTGTGCTCAGAATTTCAGTAACATCCAAAAATTAAAATTTATCAAGGACTGACACTCCTTGGAAGGCAAGCACTCCATTCATAGAGACGACTGTTTACATCTTTTTTAAAACTATGATTTCTATGTCCACACATTTTAATATCCCACTGTGCTTGTTGTTGTTAAACAGGTTGAATTTGCACAATCCAATAATAAAACTAAATGTCTTAAAAGAAAATAGAATCTTGCTGTTATATTTATTTTATTTAGTTTTTATTTTTTATTAGTACATGTTTGTAGTACATAATGTTTATAGTCCTTGTGCAGAGTTGGGACATGTACATAACACATCTTAATTCTTTTTAACGTACTTCTTTTTTTTCATAGTCCCCTTTTAGTCTACTTCTGATCTGCTCCAACCCACTCCCTTCATCCTCCTTCCATATGAGAAAGATCTATTTCCCTACTTCAGATTATCTGTCTTTCATTTTTGATCTTCATGTACATTTTGGGTTTCTCATAAAAGAAGCTATGCATTATTTAAGCTACTTTATTTTTAATTAATTTTTTGGCGTTCAGACAATACGAAAGTATAAATTAAGAAGTCTTAAGATTTTCCTGTCCCCATGATCCCTCCCAGTTCCTTTATATTCCCATATCACCCTGCTCTTGAGGATTTAGTGATAGTGGTTTGGTATATATCTTTCCACACATTGCTCTGTGAAATTTTCTCATTTAAAGATGAACTATTTGTAGCACAGATTATTCCACATAGCCTCTCTGGAGGCTTCTTAGCTTTAGAAATAATAAGAAACCTGATGTCAGCTGACACTGTTGCAGGAACAAAAGCTCTGTATAATAATCTTGTTCTTAGAAGTGCTTGTGATTCTTTCCACTTTCTTTACATATCAATCTACCCAAGTCACTTCGCAACTGTGCAGTTTTCTGTTAACAGATCCACAGGGCCCAATTCCTTTGACAGAGGCCATTTGAATTCATTCAGGAAATGTTTTGCAAGCAACCCCCCTGAACCAACTCCGACTCCAGAATCCTGGGAACCAAGTTTCTTCCAAGTCTATACAGAAGAAGTGGCGACTACCACTGACTCCCATGCCACTGCTGGCTTCAAATCAAACAATCTCTTCAGAAACCCAGATACCTTAAACTGACCACTGGGGCTTATTACAAAGCATAGCATTCACAAGAAGACATCAATCTGCACTTTTTGCCAAAGCAGCACAATGTCCTTCTTGAGTGCTTGTTCAACAGAGACTGAGAAACCACTCGGAGCCCAGAATCATGTCCATAACCTCAGTTCAATCCTCTTCCCCCACCCCATGCCCAATCTTGTTCCCATCACCATTCTCCGCCCCCATCCTTCCTGTAGCTTAATGAAAGAAGTTAAGAGCTTACAAGAAGTAGGGAATCAAAAACAGCTAGACCTAAAAATCTTTCCCCAAGACAAAAGAAATAAGCTGAGCCCCAGAGTTCCAAGCACCAATCAGCATTACACAGGCAGTGATCAGAATGAATCCACACGTTTCTTTTCTTTACAGATCACATGGAAAGGAAATACCACAGATTTACATGGGTGAGAACCAGCCTTTTGGGTGCCTTCCTAAATCCCAGTTTATTCAACTTTCAGAAACTGCACAATGAATAGAATGCATCACAAAGTATATTTACTCTGAAATCTGATGAATAAAAGCCTAAACTTTTTAATCAAAAAAGTTTACAAATGTATTTTTTCTAACCCTAAATGCAAGGAGACATTTTAAACAGATCCAAAATATGCAAAAATAAAAATTAGAAATATAAGGGCACCCATCATTGTTTATTTGTTGCTGTTTTTATAGTATGTTGTTTTGGTTTCTCTAACTACCATAATCAGATTGTTTTTCTAGTGTTTTATCTTGATTTCTTGGGATAGATTATTCATTATTTTATTCCTTCTTCAGATTTATAGAATGTCTCCATTGTAATATCTTCTGATACCATGTGGAATCCAAAACTATTAACAAACAAGAGGGAAAGGAGTTTAAATTTCTTCTTCTTATAGGGGTTCCTCTATTTCAGAGTATATTTTAATTGATCAGTGGGACATACTTTTGCCATCATGCTGGGGTTATATCATATTGGGGTTATATCATAATGGGGTTATATCATATTGTTTATTGGTAGTTGGTTATTCTAATTTTGTTTTCAAATTGAAATTTTTAAGTTTTCATTTCATTCATTCCACGTCTATTATCAAAATAATTTTTCTGCTAAAAAAATAAAATACATTTATCAGAATCATTATTAACAAAGGGTTTTAAGTTCCATTCCAGTCCCATAAGAGGAGATGTAGAAGCTTCTCTTTACTTTGCTTATGAGCTCTCTGATAGCAAGGATCAAAGTTTAGTCACATTTCTAGTACCTAGCAGTACTTGGAACATAGTAAATAACTAATGACTGTGTGATAAATGAATAAAATTAACTGATTATTAAAGATATCATGAGAACTAACAATGTAACTTTATATATTCAAGTCAGAACTGAATAGGCTTCTGATTGATAGTATATAGGTATTCAATGCAATGTAACATTTCTCCGATTCCTAATACAATTACTGATCCATTTGTACATTCTTCTTTGAAGAGAATAAATATTTTCTCTAGTCAAACAAACAGTGGATTTCTTGTCTTCTCTTTAGCATAAAATAGTTTATAATCCATGAGGAAAATAGTCTATATTTTCCTTCTTAGATGACTGAACGAGTAAATCTAGAACAAGCTGATTATCTCACCTATATTCAGAAAGGTAAGATGAAAGATAGCCCTTTGCTATCAACACATCTCAAAGACTAGGATTAATAGGGAGCACTTAATGCAACTACTAGAAGCCAATTTTTCACTGGAATCTCCAAGCTGTTTTAACTGATATTCATGAAATACACATATTTTATCATCAGTCTACTAGTAAGACAGGCAAATGAAAATGAGCATGTGAAAGGATGAGGGATCTCCTAGAACATGTGTTTTGTAGATTTAGGATTAAAAATGTCTTCTCAGAAACACAGAAATTTAGAGCTGGGCCTAGAAGCAGAGGCAAGGTGGTGACAGAGTTTGAGAAGGAAGAAGAAACACATTAAAGGATCAGATGTGAGGGGAAGCCTGGAGCTTCCAGGCAATTTTGAGTTGCTCAGTAGACAGGACCAGTGGAAGTAAGCCAGTCAGGGTAAAACCCAGGATGCCACTAACTGAGGCCAGGGAGCACAGACTGTAGCTTAAGTGAAATAGCTCAGTCAGGGGTCCAGATAAGACCATGTGATGATCATTTTGCACATAAAGACAAAACCTAGATGAAGAAGGTAGAAGAGAGAGTCAAACTTGGCAGACAAACTAGTGTAAGAAGTAGTATAGTCACACTGCCAATGAATCCTGAGGACATCAACAAATGTCCATTGCTAACATACAGTACATCTCCTAAAAACTAATCTGCTTTTTGGTAGCATGGTTAGTTTTCTCTTGCATAGGGGAGTTCACTCAAATATTTGACCAAGATATTTATTTGGTCCACTGTTTCATGCAACTGCTACTTTTTTGGGTTATCCGTGTATACCTAAAAGTGCTAACTGACCTGTAATAGGAATTACCATACATATAGAATTACTTTTAAGTATAACTAAATAAGTTTCATCTTCAAAGACAATGACATGATCATCACTCTCAGCCATATTGCATTATTAAAAAGAATTAGGTAGTATTTGATATGAAAGTATCAATGCAATTTTCTTTAGCTCTATCTTATATTAGTAGATTTACTTATTTTACAAATTCACAAAAGACTATTGGAAAAAAACAATTCAGTGAATATATAGCCATAAAATAATTTTATGCTCTAACTATTTAATCATTTACTTGATTCCTTAACAAATTCAGACACAAACTTATAAGGTCTAATAATGTGTTTTCTATACCATTGTTGTAGCTTTTGTTTGCTAACATAGAGAGGTGTTTTGCATTTCAACACAATTAATAAAGAGCCAAATAGTGAATGTTACAAGATATTTATTTTATTCCATTTATGAATTTCTAAGTTATACTTACAAATACACCAAATAAAAACTCCAATTCATACTGAGTGACCTAGAACTGCAACCATGTAGACTGAACTATAACTTAGTTCTTCATAAACAATGTGACAACTAGGATACAATAATGAAACAACCTGTGGCAAAAATTAAGACTGAAAACTTGTTTCTGATGTTTCACTTATTTCTTTTATTTAGGAAGTTATTTTTTAAACTTTTACTTTTTAAAAAAGTGTGTCTTTTACTTTCTATCCAGAGAGAGAAAAGCAGAGCCTAACATTTGGCTATTTGGTATAATCTCAGTGAAAAATGGAAGTTTATTTTCAAATAACATATAGGTTAATTGCATTTTATTTTGTTGTTTTGTTTTTTGGTACCGGGGATCAAACTCGGGTCCTTGAGCTTGCAAAGCAGGTGCCAGAACCACTGA